ATACCTGATGCTCAAAAGGTTAACATTTCTGTAAGCCATTCTGCTGTAGACTTTTCTGTGGTTTCTTTTTTATTTCTCTCATGCAAATTATTTTTATTTTATTCTCTTCTTTGCCATTTTTTTTCTGATTACTTCCAGGTTTTTTCACAATGAGTGATTTTGTATCTATTTGTTTTTTTATTCTTGGTTAAATGTGTTAATTCCACTATTGTAAGGAAAATTGAGCTTCTCATTTTTCTTTGTTTTACTTTCACCCCTGCTTTTTAATTACTTTATTGTTATTGCTGCTGTTGCTATGCTTTTGTTTGATTCTTTGTTTATTGTAATTTACTAAATCAGTCTATTTTAATTTATTGAATTGTTTTTTTAATCCCTTTTGAGGAAAATAATTTAAATGACATTTTGCTTTTTAAATAAGAAGGCAACAAAATAATTCTAGGTAATAATAGTGCACATGTATTTATCTTAAGAAAACATACTGTCTTGAATAATTGTATTGTACATTACTGTTAAAAATCTCATAATTCAGAATGATTCTCAATATCTTGCCTAAATTTTTTCCCTAGACATTAATTGAATGATTTAGTGAAATTTTCCATAATATTAGTAGACCAGGATTTTACTTCCCCAACTGATTTTTTCATTATCTAGAAAAAATATGATAAAATGGAAAAATATGCATTTAATGAGAATAGTTATTGTTGATGTCTCTTTCATGTGTTTGTTTCCTTTAAATGTGCTTCTGCAAATTTTCTCAGAATAGTTTTGCCTTCCTCTGATTTCCCTTGTGATTCAATTTTATGTGATTAGGAAACAGCACTCATTTACCGAAAGATGCTAAAGAAGCATAATTTTATCTTCATTCTGTCTTCCTTAGGCAATGTTTTAAGTTCTACAATCTCATTAACTGAAGTACAAGAAAACATGAAACTTTTCAAGTAACTCCTTTAATAGTTATTAGAGGACATCATTTACAAAACAAATATGTAGACTGTTATTTTTCAGCAGCATATCAGACCTATTTATTTTGTTGTTGCGATTTGGTTTTCTAATTTGGCCTCTGCTTTATTATCCCTGCCAAGCCCCATTCCTGTATTCTGTTCTGTTTTGTTAAGGTCCTCTTATGTTAATGTTTCTTACAAGACCAATTTATGAAACATACTTTAACTTCCAAGCAATGAATGACTCAATTCAGTACCTTTCAAAATGTGAGTCAAACACAGGCCATAGAATTTGAATTATTTAATAAAAAATGATTAGATTTCTCTGTAACCCAGGGCATGATTGAGCATATCTGCAGTGAGTTTCAGTGCATGTAAAAATACCTTCAGCACTTGTCATTTCTCTGATCTATTGCAAAACGAACAATCTACATCTGTGCCGAAAGCTCTTTTCATTAGCCTCTCAGTGATCTGATTCTAATCACTCTTTTCTGCTATGTAAATTATATTTACTATAGATGAAAAATGACATTTTATAATGTTACCAGTTGTATTTCTATAACTTCAGTAAGGCAGTTTATGAAATCATTCACCATACTTTCTTCACATCTTTCAAAACCCCATCCTTTTTGGCATAAGTAGGATAAGGTGGAAAATTATTGTAAGTATATGGTTATTTTCATGGCAAAATAAAATTGTGTAACTTTGCTAAAGCTTTGTATCATTAATTGGGTCATGAAATTTTTATACCCTTATTGATAATAATAATATCAAAATGACATCTGAGGATAGATGGGAAATCAATAGCTTCAATATTTGCAACTACTTGTTCCTTTTCATAGGTAACAAATGTTTGAATATCAAACATCTTTGATCATTTTTAATGATGTCGGGCATATATGAAAGCTCAAAAATATTGTAGAAAGAGAAGGGGAATGTGGAAATTTTATTTTGATAGTGTTGAATCTGAAACTTCCAAAGCAGTTTCATTGGTTTTCAGTCACTTTTTGATGACCCAACCCTTATAATAATCTTACAATTGTATTGTCTTCTCATCCACCATAAAATTTTTACTTTGATACTGAAAATGTTAATGATTAACTCTAAGTTCCTCAGTCTGATTGTGTACATGTTACCATTCAATAATATTAGTTTATTCAATCTATAACACAGTTACCTAAAAATGGTTAGAGAATCAAATACTCATTGTTAATGAAAGCATTGCATTCAGTAGTTCTTTCTGAACTAAATTTATATCAGTTTATCTCTTGTTAAAACAAAATGAAACTGCAGTGCATCCCTATTCCCTAGATTAATTATTACACTTCTCTTTGACCAAAGAAACCTTGACTAATAAAATAGCCATTGGTCCAAGAACTGGGATGCACAAGTCACAAATGAATGCCAGGTATTTCAAAAGGTTTTGTTGAAAGCAATAATTTATAGTATTCTATATAAAAATGAACAGAGAGAAGTGGTTTGGATAGCTAAGCCTGGACAAAAACTGGTAAAAATAATGAAATTGTTCATGAAAAAATTAAAAACAACAAAATTGGTAATTTATTTAAACATCTCTGCATGTAAAATAAGGCCAGATGAAAATTTTGGTAACTTTCTGAAGTCAATATATTTGCCTTGCTGTTGATATAATTTGTAATTATTGCTTTGGATTTTGTGTATTTACTGGATGCTTTAGTGCCATCAGAGTTATGTTTTGGGTGAAGGACAACTAACTCTCTTTTTCCTATTTCCTGAGCAATTGTGTCAGCCTGACTCTGCCATTAGGGGTAGCCCCAATGGGATATGTATGATAAGAATGAAGGGAAATTTGATCCCTTGAGCCATGTTCTAACATCATTCCTTTACTATTGTGCTGAAAAGGAGCAAAAGGAGAGAGGGAATTAGTGTAAAGACAGGGGGAAAAAAATAGGTAAATTGCAGTACAGAGCAGATTCTTCTGCTGTTGAGTCTTCAGGACATGTAAAACTGAACAAAAGCCATTGTTCAGTTAAAAATCACTATCACTTTTAATATTTAGTCTTATCTCTCAAAGGAGAGATATTGAATGAAAGGAGATGGTGAATATATTTGGGTACTGAGGTGCATTTTTTGCTTTTATCTGGCTTTGAGTGGCTATGGTCAGTACTAAAATCTATAAGCCTAATATATTCTAACACTGTTCTAATATAACAAGAAAATAGCAAGAGAGAGTACTGAAAAGATGGGAACAGGAGAGAGAGCATAATTTATACATCAAAGCTAATAGTAATAACTTTAAAGGTTTGAATTTAGCTACTAAAAGAAAAAAAATGGATTATGATAAAATAACAAAGCTGCACCTATTTTTTTTAACAAAATTCTCAACAAAAAGTATGCACACCTTTTGGCATATATCAGAAACTAATATATTGAAAGACAAAAATGTAGAGTGCCTAGAAGATTTGTGTAACACCTAAGAAGTTTGTGCAATACCAACAAGTACTTTGCTATGACAAATTTATATTGCACTCTGCTTTCAAAAAAATATATAGTATTTAAAGATATATAGCACATCTTCAGAAGTCAGTACTTAATGGATGGCAAAGCATCTCAAAAATATTAAAATCAATAACATATATTCTCTAATAAATTCAGTTATGTTGGGAATTGTAAAGATGTGGCCAAATATCATCAATAAACTTGAAATCTATTAAAAGTGTTACTAGGCAAATTGTGGGTGTGAATGAGTATATCACAAAGACCTTAGAACTGAAAAGTATTGCACATGCTATATAAAATCATGAGACCAGCAAATGTAATGACACTTGAAGGTATTACTATAACCTAAGCCCATTGTTCAAAAAATGGTTAAAAATCACAAGATTGAGTCATTAACTGAAGAAGCTAGAAAAATAACTGTATATCCCTCCAAAATAATAATGACAATAGCATAAAATAGTGGAATAGAAATAGAAATAAAAGACAA